AGCCAGCCATGCTGGCTGGGGAATTCTGGGAGTTGAAGTCCACTCATCTTAAAGTGGCCAAGTTTGGACAACACTGATGTACACAGTCACAGCAAAAGAATCCTTTCCAACAAGGAGATGTGTCATGGTTAGCTTGCCTCCTGTCCCCATAGTCTTAAGACTGGAGAATTTAGTGAAGGCAAGCAATCCAGATCTTCAGCCACTGCACCCTGGGATTGGTTCCTCCTACTCATGAGCAGGAAAAAAGGCTGGTCCCAAACTTAATTTTTAAAAGCAATAACAAAGCTTGCACTTCCACGCAGATACCCAATTTCTGTATAACCTGGCTGTTTCAGACCATCAGATTGCTTCCAATTGTTTTATCATTTTCCTAAGTGTTACTCTTGGTTCTGCATGTGTTCGTCCAGTCCATGGCTGTCTTCTGTAAGTTTTTTTTTTCTTCTTTTAATTAGAAGAAGAATCAATTGGTGCTTTAATTCCTGCCCAAAGTGACTTGTGAAGTTGATCGTTTCTATAAGAGCAGATACTTATTAAAAGCTCTTATCTGAACCAGAGTAGCCAACAGTCCTGCCTTTTTTTCCTCCCTACAGTTTATGAGCCTCTTCCCTCCCCCCATCACCACCACCCTAAGTAAATATATATTATTACTGATGGTTATCAAGTTTAATTAACTAGAAAACATCACCAGAAGCCACTTATGTCTTACAGGAGATTTTCTAGTGCTTTATTAAGAGCAGTACACCAATTCTTGACAGATTTCCACCGGGGACTAATCTCTAGGATAATGTAGCTTAAAAAAAGAAGGATGCTACAGCCATAGAAAGAAAGAAAAAAATGTGCAAGGATTGGCACATTGGGACAACACTGGGTTTGGAATGATCATGCCTGGAATAATTGAAGCTGCTTGGGCTGGGTGAGAGTCATTATGTAGCAGAGGAAAGAACTTGAAATATGATTTATTTTAACACTTTCAGTAGCTGGGTGAGTGATGCTGATCAACTGTGTCAAAAGTTTGCAGGTTGTGCCAACCTAGAAACCCAAGTAGTGCAACCCAAGGTGAAGGGCATCTTTATGTCCCAAGCCATTGTTGTTTATTGCATGGATTATATTAGTGCCTTCTATATGGAGCTCCCTTTGAAGAGTACCATTGTAATGCTATGTGGGAATGATCTTGGGAGACAAGTGGAAGAGCTGCAGACTAGGCAGCCATCAGATAAACAGCAGCTGAGTCGCCAGAAGGAATGGGGGCATGGCAAACATCTCAGAAGGGACCTTCCCTAGTTTCTTGGACTGTAAAGGCAAGGGGGGAGAGAGCTACCTTACGATAAAGTTAGTGCTAGCACTTCTGGGTGTGTTTCTTGTCTGGACTACCTTGCAAGGCTGACAGTCCTGAAGCTCCAGTTGGTGCAAAACACGGCAGCCCACCTTTGGACAGGTGAGAGCTGTTACAGGCATGGATCACCAGTGTTGTAGCTTCTAGGTTGTCTACCAGTAGGCTTCTGGGCACCTGTATTGTGCCCAGAAAAGAAAGTGCTAGTTTTGACCTGTTGCCAGTCCTTCGAGGTTGTCCAGATCAGAAAACAGACTCCAAACACAAAGACTAGAACTATTCTTTACTGACAGAGTCTTGCAAGCCTGCCTATGTTTTTCCTTCTCTTCCTCTTATTCCCCCAGATGTCAGGAAGGAGGCAGAGTGTCTCTTTTTCTACTACTTTCCCTGTTTCCTGGGCTCAAACCATGTTTTTGCACATGTTGTTCTTTCTAAATAGTTTCTCCAAAGTCATCTCCATGGCTTCCTACCGCTGTAAAGCTCTATTTGGCTTGGCACCCGGGGACCTGCAGAACTGTCAGCTTCAAATGGGGGGATACTGAGGATTCCACCCCACGGAAGATTTGGAGGGGTGGGGCAGAAATCCATGCTTCTCCCTTGTGACCCCAACATTGTGAAACACCCTTCCCTTGGAAATCTATAGGTGGCCTTCTCTCCCAGGGTTTAGAGCCTCTTGAGAACAGAGCTTGTCTAAAGAGTTTCTCATGGTTAAGATGACTGATGGTTGAGGGAACCTAACAGAGCAACAAGCACAGCTTTTATGTTATATTATTTAGATCCTTTTTATTGGGTAGTTTTGATATTTGTTTTTATATTGCAAAACACTATGAGTATGATGGCAGTATTATACCAAATAAATAAACCCAGAAGAGAAGGTTCAGCTGGGGTTAACCTTCATATTGGCTGCAGACACAGAAGCTAGAAGCGGCCCCACATAAATAGGGCTTATCTGGAAAGTCCATCTGTGGTGTTTTCCTTCTCATTCTCTCCCAAGGGTAAATAGGGTGTGATGGGGCATAAACCAGAGGATAAGTCAAACTATCTCTGGTTGCCCAACCTCCATCAGTCCACATGAGTCAACCATGCCTGCCGTTATGTAAACCTGTTGCATTCTGGGTTGTTGTTTTTTTTTTTTTAATCATTTACAGGCTGCAAATTTTACTAATTAAAGAAGTTATAGATTTGAAGAAATTAGGATAAAATTAGGCAATACAGTGTTTTTTCCTCCCTTATCCAGTTCTTCTTTAATCGATTTGCCACACATACACTCATTAAATTCATATCTTACCTAGAGGTGATTTCCTATCACTGAATTTCAGGCCTACTCTAAAAATAAAGCTAATGATCCCTAGTGTTTTGGTACCTGTGTTTGTCCATCATTTCAAAATTATTCCTAGAGAAAAGGGGTTAATTCATTAACTAGATTAAGTGGGTTGTCTGAGTGTACCTGTACTATGATTGCAACAGGGTTTTACAACTCTTTCTTTTGAGGGAATCACCTCTCCTTCATATATTTTAGCCTGGCTCTCAGCACACAAGACTATTTCTCCATTCCTTGGGGACTTCACTATTAAGCACTAGACATCTTGGATGTCTATGGACAAATTATGCTCTTGGGCCCATTAAAAAGGGAGAAATCTGACCGCAGTATTAACTTGTGCCCATGTCTGCTACTGTCTTCACTTTAATATTGCTGGTGGTTGTTTTCAGAGATAGAAAATGTCTCAATCAAATTTGCTTGTTCCCAAGTGAATGAAACCCAGGCTGGCTTAACCTCATTTATAAGACAGGCTTGAGGCTTATCACTTCCCTGGATTGTTGAGTTGAGAGACAGCATAAATGAGAAATGGGTTTGGACTGTCATTTCAATGTAGTGTGGTGTTCTAGGATTGTGACAAGCCCCAAATTAAACATCCTGCCAATTGGTCTGTGAGTTCTTTTGTTGCGTAGAAAAGAAACTGAAGTTATACGGAATACCCTCTATCCAATGGTCCCTTGAGTTTTGCAGGCTCCCTGGTAAAACTCATGGTTTGGGTGAGAAAACGTGTCTCCAAGAATGTTTTGTTTCTGTTGCCAGTTAACAAGTCAGTCCTAGCCAACCACCTGCCTTTCAATTTTCCCTTCATATTTATAAAAATCCTGTATTATATTGCAGGAGTGAGCAATCTCTGGATCTTGAACCCATTTGTTGCTCCTCTGCAGCCTTCCAGTTGCATTGCCAACTTAGGGCGATGCAGTGGTCCAGAATCACTGGCCATTATTTTAATTTATTGTACAATATTTATTTGTGTGCCACCCACTTTGTGAGCTCTTTCTGAAATCCTAAGAAGTCATTCACCATTCAAACAGAATAAATTACGAAAAAGCATGATAAGTTATCAATAGGCATCATAAATTGCCAATAAGCATTTTGATATAGGAACACACAAAAATTGTAGCGTTAATCTTAAAGAGGCTTAGGACAGCTTTAAAAAGCAAAGACAAATTCAATCTTGTGCTTCTTTCCCAAAATTGGGGGGGGGGGGGGCAGGGGCAGTCCTTTTACTTCCCTCCAGAAAGTTAAACATTTTCCAGGCCATCCAAAGGTTGCCCACCCTTCTTCGCTGGTTTGTAAAAATTCCTCCAAGATAATTTCATGTAAAGCACTCTCAAAACGGCTATTTTAACATTAAGTATTATGCCTCAGTATACCTCTGAGCACACTTAGATTTTTTTTCCCCTCTCTGTTCTTGGTTCTTTGCCAGGTGAATGTTAACCGGTCCCTTCTTTCTCTTCCCTAAGTTGTCAGGCTAATAAAGCCTGCCAAATCCGATGCAGGAGCAGAAACCAAACTTGGTCTCGTAGGGGCTGAAGGAGCACATGTTGACCTTCTTGATAATGCCATACCTTCTCATAGAGGACAGGTATAACTAAGAGAAATGGTTAGGAAAATCAAGTTCCAATCTCAACTGTGCCATAAATTGAGTATACCGATTTTCTCATTCTCCTTTCCCCCTCCCCATCTGTAATATGGAAAAACAGGACACTGACTTTCCTTAAAGGGATGTTGTTTTTCTTCAGCATTTGGGTCAAGTTTAACATTTGCAGTTTGCCCTTTTTTTAAAAAAAAAAAATTAGCCAGCACTGAAAGACGACAGGATGAAGTGAGGCTTTACTTGAAATGGGTAGGGGGAACAATGGGAAGAAATGTTCCATGGGCTCCAATGGGACTTTCCTGGTCTTCCAAAAAGCTGGCATAAGAGCATGAGAATTTTGTTCTTGACCAACTCTTCCCATTTATTTTGGCATTGGGTAAGTACAGAAACTGGCGCTACTCACAAAGCTTTTGTATCCTGGAGAACCTCATAGATGCTGCTGGTGCTGGTGATGATTCAAACTTCTAACTCTGAGGTCCCTGGAGTTTGATAGTGTTGAGGCAGTTCCAAGTCAGCCCAGTGTACTCCAGCATAAACCCCATTGATGAAAGTAAAAAGTAAATGCTTGCAGTGGGGAAATGAAATAAAGATGATGCCTTCCTTAATGTTTTCTTTCTCTCTTCCTCCTCCTCAGTACTGGAGAAAATGAGTCCCCACCACATCTGAAGGCAAGAATTCATGCTGCTCTGTCACGCTGCTGAAGATAACATCAAATAAGGATGTAACTTTGCTAGCTTGGATAATCAATTTATCAAGAATTGCCATTCAAACTAGGTCAAGGGTATATGTCCCTCACTCTAGGTATATCAGCAACGGTTTGGAAAACAGAGCAATGCCCTCCAGAGCCAAAATGATAAGAAGAAAATAAATGTCTTATGGCTGTTAAAGGACATCTGTGCACCTATTATTGTGGTTTGTTTGGACAAAAAACATGAAATGTAGCCTTGCACTTAACTGGTCCCTCTAGAAGAACACACCTATAGCAAGACAAGTATTGTCAAAGCTTATGAACTTGGAACTGAGGTTTGGGGTTATTTCTAGAACTTGTGCAAATTGAGTCGGCCCATACTTTTAGAGTAGGTTACATCCTACAGACTCCTTTTAGAGAAAGGGATCCTATGAACTATCAGCAGATCTGGCCTTTAGAGCAAAGCAAAGTGCTGAAAGATATCAACCATGGACGTGAAAGGCCTGACAGGAAAATGAATGTTTTCACTTTCTTTATAAATAATAACGTATGTTGACTGTATATGCCAAGTCTAATAAAATGCCTTTGATGTAATCTTAAATTCTCTTTATTTAGGCTTCTTCAATTTTCTTTTTCTGCTCTTTGCACTCTTAGATATAAAATCTTTTTAAACATTTATTTCTAGCAGTTTCTATTCCAGATGGTCACACTTCAGCCTGTTATGACTGTAAAACTAGGTTCTTTGAACTCTTAGGCCAGTATTCTGAAATTGGCTTACTTGATGGTGGACCTTCAGATACCGCTTGGCTAGAGTAAATACTTCCCTGCAGAAAAGAATAAAGCCAACTACAGCTGAAGATTAATCTCTTGCAGTAGGCCGCAGAGTATTTACACTGCAGCATCTTTTGCAGGTACAAATTACCACGAAGTGAATAATCTCTGCATTTATCTCATAGCTCCTTGTCAATATGCATGGATTGTGCGGCACAAAATGATAATGGAAAAAATTGTTCTTTAATTGGGTTGGTATAATTTTTCAGTTAAAAACTAGGTTCCATGTGCTGAGGATTGTCCCCATCCACCTTTATTGTGTTAGTTAACTGGTGCAGAGGGACATTTTATTGTAATGATACCACAACATGAGATAAAATAGATATGGGCTTCCAGTGTATGTGTATCTTGTGGAGTGGGGGGGACGTTGCATTTAAGACTTTCTTCATTATAATTATTGGCTCTTGTTTGCCTTTTGAGATACCTCCTCCTCCTTCTCCTCCTTCCCTTTTTAATTTTTAATTGACTTATGAAATTGTCCTCGAACCAATTTTTCCCCTTCTTATTTAAATGCCACATTCTCCTCTGTGCTGTTCTTGTTTTCTCGAGTGCTAAAAATGTTTTCTCTTCTGGGGAAGGTGCAATCCATAAAGTCAAATTGTTCTCCTGGGCTTTGTGTCATAATGCTATTTTCAGCCACACAATCTAGTACATTGGCTTTGGACTCGGGAGAGTTTATAACTACGGGATAAACTCTTTTCCATCTGTGCACCTATTGTGGCAGAGGTAAAACCTAGAAATCTCAGTCAATTGTTGTGCGGTTCCAAATGCTCAGTTTACCACTTCTATAAAAGTTTCCAGTTTTCATATATTTGACGATTGATAGCTACAAAATGTGGGGTGTTGTGGAGCTGTTGAGATTTTGAAAAATGACATGGACGACGTCCCAAGTAAAGGCCAGTCACAAAACAATTGGAAGGGTTCCCACCCCCGTGTATGCACCTGAGAATTTTGCCTGAGAATAGATGCACGCATACCCAAAATTCTCAGGCATAGAAAGGGAGGGGGTTTGAGTGTGTGTAGAACGCACTGGGCCATATTTAATGTTTCTGGAAGATCTTCTAAGCTGATGCCTGTGGTTTGCTGGTATACTTTGACCAACATCCCAGCTACCTTTATAATGGGCCTCCTGTTTCATATCCTGTGCATCTTCTGAGGATGGGGGGGGAAAAAAATCAAAGAGCTGGCAGTAAGATCTGTGCAATTACGTCTACCTGGGGCAGCTGTAGGTTCTCCATCTCTGGAGCCTTTTAAGAAGAGGCTGGACAGCCACCTCCCATGGATAGCTTCACTGGTTTGTGTGCACGTTGCAGAGGGTTAGACAAGATTATCCTTGGGGCCCCTTCCAATTGTGGGAAAAGACACACACTAGAGGAGAACAGTTTGAAGCTATAGTAGCATCCTGCCATTGGGTCTGGAGGCTGGAAGGGAGAGTTAATTTAAGAACAACTTTGTCACCTTGATCTACATATGTGGAGCCAAGTCATAAATGTTTTGATTGCAAACTTTGATTACAAATTCTGGTAAAGATTAAGCACCGGAACCACAATTTGACTCATATGTTGACTTCAGATGAAACTGTACTTCTGACTTTGTTTAGGGTTTTGGGTGGCCTACTGTGTGGTACAAATCCAGTTTGGGGATTCAATGAATTACACAAAACCAGAAAATGGGTTAATTCTATAAAGGTATTGTGCAAGCGTGGTCTGGCTTTCACATTGCTTTCTCTCTGGCTTTCCACAATCATTTGTATCTTGTGCTGTTTGGTCTGCTCTATAACCACAATGTTATGCTACTATTTGTCTATTCTAGGTGATAAAATCAAATCAACTTTCAGTATGGATAAAGTTGCTAAAGTTAAAAGTAAACTCTGTGTTAAGCTTGACTGCTGAGGACTACATGGACCTATCCACACAGTTGTCTTTGCCACATTATGGAAGGGTTTGACACTAACTTCTTCTGTGATTTTTTCAAGTTCCCATTCTAACCAACATCGTAGGGGTTTCTTACTGATATCTCCCATCCAGTCACTAACCATGTCTGACTCTACTTAGCTTTTTTGAGATTGCTCAAGGTCAACCAGGAGCTTCTTCTGGGAAACAACTGTGCTGATATTTTTCTTGTGGGGAAACCTACCACAAATATTAACTCAGTATCAGTATCATTGCCCAGACATTAATGCCCATTGCTTAAGATAGAAGCAATTTATACGCATGTTTCTTTTATTTCTTTTAATTATACATTTATAAGATGTATTTATAAGCATTTTTAGCCTGCTTTTCAATAAAAAAGTGGAACGAAATGAAGCAATTTTAATGTCCTCTGTATAAACTTCCTTCCTGCCTACTGAACTCAGACATTTTGCCTCTTGGCTGACATTTCTGTTAATTAGAGTGATTGATTAATTGGGCTAATAAATAAATATTTTACATGAGTCAGTGCACAACCTCTTTTGGAATGAGGGTCACACACTAAACCTTTCCTGTGCTTGAAAAGGTCCAAAAATAGGCAGGGCATGGAGAAAAAATAAACCTGATTTAATTTATATGAATGAAGTACTGTTAATAAAAAAGCTTCTCACAACTTTCCTCCTTCCATCACATAAAAATTAAAAATGACCAAGGGTTTTCTACCAGGATCACCAAAGCTGATTTTTGTCCCCAGATTAGGCTCAAATCCAGATTGAAAAGGATTCCAATAATTGGATCCTCCATAAACATCTGCAGCTATACAACTACAGGTAGTCCTCTCTTACCAACCACAATTTGAACCAGAAACTGTGTCACTAAGTGCCACAGTCACTAAGTGAAAAATCATGTGACCATGCTGGACTTACAACATCACTTCCAGTTCCATCATTAAGCGAGTCACTGCGGTCATTAAGTGAGACATCATATGACCATGACTTGCGATTTCACTTCTCTGTTCTCCATTAAATTCTGCTTGTTGGAAGCTGGTTGTGAGGCTTGCAAATGGCAATGACATCACTACAGGATTCTGTGAAGGCTGCAAATGCACACTGGTTGTGAAGTGCCCGAATGGCAACCACGTGACTGCAGGATGCTGTGACGGTTGTAAATCTGAGGATTGGTTGCAAAGCTTGCTTTTTTTTTCCCCCCCCAACCGTCCTAACTTCGCTAAACAAGGCTGCTGGTAAATGAGGGCTACCTGTACAATTAATGTTCCAGATGTAGCCAAACTATAGATTGTAGATTGCAGTAACAGCATCATTACAGTATTGCCAGTTTTCAAATTCTTTTTCAAGTTCCCTAATATGAAATTCACCTTTTTACAACTGTCACAAACAAGATAATGTTTTGATTGGCCTACTTACTAGAACTTTAAGAACCTTTTCCAGGTCATTCATCACCACTTGAGACTTCATCATGGGCGTCCTCAAGGGGGAAGTTTGTCAAAAAAAAGTCAAGATGACAGTAATGCAAGATGACAGTAATGACCATATGATCAAAGTCCAAACTCTATCTGTGTAAAAAAATGGCATGGCTGTGATTGCATGGTCATGGCCACCAAATTGACTTTTCTGTCTTCCCTTCCCTCAAGCAAATGCCCCTGGATTCCATTGTGTGCATGTGAAGGTAGGATTCTTAAATTAATTTCACTTCTTCATTAATTTTTTTAAAAGTAATTGTTTTTATATGTTCACTGTTTTATCACCTTGTTGTATGCCACCCAAAGTCACTTTTTGGTGAAATGGGCAGCCATATAAATTTGATGCACAAACAAATAAATACATACATACATCTTTTCTCCAACATGAATCCCTTCGCATTTACACTGAACTGCATTTGTCACATCAATGACCATTTACCCAGCTGGAGGTATCATTTTAACACAGCTTCTAATCGTCATTGTTGTTTTTATTGTTGACCACCGCGGATAATGCATTTTCCTTAAAAAATTCCTAGCACCAAGGAATCATCAGCTGTGTATCTAAAGCATCAGCTGTGTATCTCAGCCACACTGGTTCCTTCTGAAAGTGTACACCGCACTCCTATTCTGAACAAGACAGATGGAGTTCTTGACTTAATCAAAACTAATGGTCTGTATTATGCCTGACAAACATTAGTAGATGGGGAATGAAGCGATGGGGTTACCACATTATGAGGTCTCTCAACTCACTGGTTCAGCTCACATATAGAAGAGGCCAGTGGTTGCTTCTTGCAAAAGTTAAAAAGGAACAAACATAAAAATGGTTTTCTTCTACCCTGAAAATAAGCTATAGCTAGTAGCTCCTCTGGAGCAAATTTATCTCCTATGCCTCCGGTAGCTTACATAACAAATTTAATATGGGGGCGGGGGAGGATGTCCACAGGTTGCCAAACCTGTTTTAAATAGTCAAATGCAATATTATAGAAATTTGCTTGTTGACACTTGTGCTGATCATCTTCTGAAGTAACACCTCTTCTCCATGACCTACATCCATAGCTTGCATTCCAACAAGTGGATGGAGACAGAAACAAACAGTGGAAGGGGCCAGCAGAAAGACTATTCAATTAAATATCTCTAAATATAATTACTATGATCGCTTCCATGGATTTAGTAATTTCTTGTATTGGTTGGGTTAAAAAGGACAATACAGGGACAACTTTTGAAGAGGTTCTGGGAGTTGCATTCAATGGCCACATGTGTTCCTGAGCTCTGAGGTTGTGGACAACTGTACTGATCCATAACACATGCTTGATGTATAGAATATAAGAATAGCCCTCCTCAGTCAGGTCAAATAACCCATCTAGTTGGCC